AGCCATTGTATTCTCTATTACCATGTATGGATGTGAGAGTTGGACAGTGCTGGAGAAGAGTGCTGAGGATCCCATGGACAGCCAAAAGTACAAATGGGTCCTAAAGCAGATTAAGCCAGAAACCTCCTGGAAACCAAGATGACCAAACTGAGGCTATCATACCTTGGATGCATCCTGAGAAGGGAGGACTGTTTGAAAAAAAATAATGCTGGGAAAGGTGGAGGGAAGTAGAAAGAGAGGAAGGCCACATGCTAGATGGATGGACTCTGTAAAGGAGGTCACGGGGATGGGGTTGCAGGAATTAAGCAGAGAAGTAGAGGACAGAGAGTCTTGGAGATGTCTCATCCATAAGGTCACCATGAGTCAAGATCAACTTGAGGGCAGTTAACAACAAATGGGTGATGGCATGCTGGATCTAACTCTTTAACCTATTCCTTCAGGCTGAACAGCTAATGATCAGTATGATTATTAATGTCTTTAGCCAGTGGTGGTTGCTGTCTCTGTAGGGCAGTGAATTCACTTCAGTTTTTAGTTTGAACTTTGAAGTAACTACCCATGGTGCTGAATCTGTTTGAGGCCTAAGGTTCACCACCTTGATTAGTTCCTTTCAAAGTTTAGACTAAATGCTAGAGCATATTCATTGACCCATTGACATTGTTGATAGTGGTCTTCCAATGGCATCTCAAAGTGCTCCATTTTATTGGCGGGCAGAGAACATGGGGATGCCACTTCACCTAAATTCTCCAGAAGGAGGAAAAGTCCATCAATATTTTTTCAGAGGTGGGGCTCACCATTGGCAGGGGATGGAACAAACCTAGGAGCTTATTGCTTAGGGCTTTACACCGAATCAAGCCTCCCAGGCTGCAGCTGGCAGACGGGATGGAGGTAGGGATTATTGCACACTAAATCGCCACCAAATTGCCTGCTGCCATCAGCCCAGGTTCTAGACGGGCTCAACCAGTGCTTTTTAGAATTTCTAAATTTCCAATTTCTAAAAAGCGCTGATTGCGCCTGGCTGGGACCCAGACTGAAGTGGCCAGTGATTCAGCTGTGATTTAGCATGCGATAATCCCCACCTCCATCCCGCCTCCCGGCTGCAGCCCAAAGGCTTGATTTGCTTTAAAACCCCAAGTGATTAGCTTGCTATATCTTCTTTTCTTTTTCCCTTCAATTTTTTTTTTGGTATATATTGCCACTGTAAGTAGCAACAAAGCAACTTTTGTGTGCTGCTTTTGTAGCAACACTCTTGTAGTAGTCACAATTTTATTTCTTCCACAATGTCCTAACTGTGCATGATTTTGCTATTGTTTGTATGTGTGTGTGTGTGTTTGGAGGAAAAGAGTTAAAGAGAGAGAGAGAGAGAGAGAGAGAGAGAGAGAGATCAGAACACCTTACAGAAAAATGCTTTCTGAGAAATGCTTCCTTAGTTCCAACATGGTGCAACGATTTCATTGTTGGACTAGGATTCTGGGAATCCAGGTTTTGAATCTCTGCTCAGCCATGGATCCTTGCTGGGTGAACCTGGGCAAGTCTCCAAACAATTCAAAAACTAAAGGGGCAAAACAGCCCAAATGATGATTTTCTCAATTTCTCCCAAAACATTTATATTCATTTGAGAACAGCATGGCTGGCTAGCAGAAACTCTGAACAGAAGGATTCCTGTTAGGTGCAGAGCTGTTCCTACTGTTAACCAGTGCATTTTAAATGAAATAGTGGGGGTTCATTCTCCCATTCAAATGAGTTCATGGATGGAAGCTTATTCAACATATACAATCCTGACATGTAGATTGGATTGAAAGTGCTTTGTTTCTTTTCCTTATTTTTAAAAGGAGGAGATTAATACAGGGTTGCAAATGCAGTTAAGCACATCAGTATCTTCACAACTGTAATTATCCTGCACACCCGCAGCAAATATATGAATTAATAAGAAGAACAATCCCCTAGGCCAGGGGTAGGCAACCCTAGGCCGGTCCTGCCGCCCCCCGCTGCCCCCTGCCACCGCCACTGCCCGCCATGATGATATTGATTATTGTTGTTATTACTTGTTCCTGGGGTTTTCTTGGCAAAATCTCCACAGTGGTTTGCCATGGCTTTTCTGGGGCTGAGAGAGTCTGCATGCATATTTTTTAAATTTTAAATATTTATTTATTTATTTATTTATTTTTGGTGCTTCGGCCCCCCAATTGTCTGAGGGATAGCAACCCAGCCCCCAGCTCAAAAAGGTTGCCTACCCCTGCCCTAGCCTCTTACTAAAGCTTAGACAAAATTGTTTAAAAACACAACTGGTTTGGGATTGCAATAGATACAAGGTATTCATTACTGCTATTCATTACTGGAGTTACATATTCATAACCCAGAGAGTTACAGGTCATAGATGATCTGTTTTTGGCAAGGCTGTGTAGTCTTCCTGTTAGCCTATATAAATGCTACTCCAGCTCACCTTAAGAGCCAGCATATGGATAGGACAAAGGAGATCCTTTCAGCTTCTAATCAGGGTATGAGGCGGATAACATTTCCATATACTTTGCCCAATGATGAGTGAGGATTTTACAATCAGAAGTAGGACTTCTATTGCAAGTCCTTGTCACGGCTTTTTTTGCTGGTGAGAGAAGGGTGGTAGCATCTTCCTCCTTGAGCTGAATGGACTTCCTTTGTCTGATATGGCAGCCTGTTCTCAAGATGGAAGAGAGAGAGGTTGACTGACCGAACCCAAAGGGTGCTCAGCAATGGCTCCTCTTCATCTTGAAGAGAAGTGACCAGTGGGGTGCCACAGGGTTCTGTCCTGGGCACAGTGCTATTCAACATCTTTATCAATGACTTGGATGAAAGAATAGGGGGCATGTTTATCAAATTTGCAGATAACACCAAATGAAATTCATAATAAAATGAATTTCAACATTGAGAAATGTAAGGTACTGCACTTAGGGCAAAAAAATGAAATGCATACATATAAGTTGGGGACACCTGACTTAATGAGATTACGTGTGAAAGGGATCTAGGAGTCCTAGTGGACCACAAGTTGAACATGAGTCAACAGTGTGATGCAGCAGCTAAAAAGGCCATTGCAATTTAGGCTGCATCAATATAAGTATAGTATCTAGATCAAGGGAAGTAATAGTGCCACTCTATTCTGCTTTGGTCAGGCCCCACCTGGAATACTGTGTCCAGTTCTGGGCACCACAATTCAAAAGGGATGTGGAGAAACTGGAGCATGTCCAAAGGGGGGCAACTAAAATGGTGAAGGGTCTGGAAACTAAGCCCTATAAGGAATGACTTAGAGAACTGGGTATGTTTAGCCTGGAGAAGAGATGGTTAAGAGGTGATAGGATAGCCCTGCTTAAATATTTGAAGTGATGTCATACTGAGGATGGAGCAAACTTGTTCTCTGCTGCTCCAGAGAATAGGATACAAGCTACAGGAAAAGAGATTCCACTAGGAGGAACTTCCTGACAGTGAGAGCTGTTTGACAGTGGAGCACACTCCCTCGGAGTATGGTGGAGTCTCCTTCTTTGGAGGTCTTTAAACAGAGGCTGGATGGCCATCTGTCAGAGATGCTTTGATTTTGAGTTCCTGAATGCTAGGGGGTTGGACTGGATGGCCCTTGTGGTCTCTTCCAACTCTATGATTCTATGAGGTTGGGCCAGGAGGAGTTACACAGATGTAACTAAGCAGCCAGTATAGGATTTCAGTGGTATATTTGGGGAATATTTTTATTTTTGGTTTGCAGCAACTTGAAGAGGGCATCAAAACAGTGGTCGGAATCTTGTGGTTCACTGATGAAATTTTATGTGCTGTTTTATCACTTCTGAGTGTTTATTGAGACACAATTACTTCAAAATGCCTTAGGTTTTAGCCTTCTTCAGCCAGCTCCCAAAAGCAGCTGCTTCCTCAGTATGTGTTATCAGATTTTTAAGGGTCCTGAGTTTTGTGGGAAATGATTCTTCCCAGTGTTTTCTTCACTTCCTTTTTTGCAGGCAGAGGGTGTAGGCACCTATGGGTTCTCATTTCCTGGTTATGTGTGTGGATGTTACAAATGCTGCATTCTCCTCAATTTTGGGCAGGCAGGCAGGCAAAGCACACAGCACAGCATTTACAGATTGGGTTTTTTGAAGAGGGGGTTTGAGAAAAAATAGTTTTTGTGCAAAAGTGGGGTGTTTCACACAAAATTTATTTGCATAAAATTGTATTGTATGTAAAATACTATATTTTTGCATGAAAAAGTGTTTTTAAGCAAAATATAATGGCTTGGAATTCTATGGGTTAGTTCCAGCTGAAGCAGACTGAATCAATTGCTGAATACTGAGTCAACATGTAAGTAAATCCAACTGATTAAATTGACTGCCTCTAGCAAGGACTAACAATAGGATTTGGGCTAATGTTTTGAAGAAATACCCAAAATGCACCAGATCCTGCCTGATCTTGGAAGCTAAACAGTGTCAACCCAAGTCAGTGCTTGGATGGGAGACAACCAAATAATGCCAGGTGCTATAGGCTATATTTCAGAGAAAGAGACTGACAAAACCACTTCTTGGTATTCCTTGCTCAAGAAAACCCTATGAAATTCACAGGATTGTCATAAGTTGACAGGCACATCTCTCTCTCTCTGTGTCTTGTGCAAATGTAAAATTTGGGCAAAAAAAGTTCTCAAGTGCAAAATAAAAAATGTCATTCACTAGGATAATACCCCCCATTTTTTATTCTCATGCAAACTTTTGACATCTGTCATTCTTTTCGCTTTAAAACCACTGCTAAAAGCATACTGTAAATCTGTGATCCTATCCTTAACTTGGGAGTAAGCTCTGTTGAATTTAGCGGGGCTTACATATGAGTAAACATATACAGGATTAAATTGTTGTTGTTGTTATGTGCCTTTAAGTTATGTTTGACTTGTCGTAACCAAGGTTTTCTTGGCAAGATTTGTTCAGGGGCCTCAGAGCCTTCCTCTGAGGCTGAAAGATTATGACTTGTCCAATGTCACCCACTGGGTTTCCATGGCTGAGCAGGGATTCGAACTCTGGTCTCAGAGTCATAGTCCAATGCTCAACCACTACACCACACTGGTTCCTGTTACACTGATAATCAGCAACAAATCCTATGGCAGTTTCTCTTCTGCAATGAATCTCTATTTTTCTGTTGTGTGTCTAGGTCCGCTCACAATCAGGGGTGGCCGGTGGATTTGCCATCATGGGTGGAAGGCAGCATGAATCCAATCTTGATTTTACTACCACTCCTCCTGCAGCCACTTCTAGTTCAGGGATAGAAAACTGTCAGAGGCTAGGGCAGGGGTAGGCAACCTTTTTGAGCTGGGGGCTGGGTTGCTGTCCCTCAGACAATTGGGGGGGCCGAAGCACAATAAATAAATAAATAAATAAAAATATATTTTTTAAAAAATTAAAAAATTAAAAAATATGCATGCACACTCTCTCAGCCCCAGAAAAACCATGTCAAAACCCCTGTAGAGAGTTTGCCAAGAAAACCCCAAGAACAAATAATAACAACAATAATCAATATCATTATGGGGGTTGGCGGCGGCAGCAGGAACGGCAGCAGGACCGGCCTGGGGCCGGTCCAAAGGCCTCAGGGGGCCACATCTGGCCCCCAGGCCTTAGGTTGCCTACCCCTGGGCTAGGGAGTTGCATTGGCTTTCCAAGGTTACCTTAAAGAGCTGTACATAAATTAGAGTTTTGCTACTCTGGGGGCCTGTTGGCATTTTAACTACATTTATTTCTCTGAAGGGCCATTTTACACCCAAGACGGGCTTACACAACACAGTACAAAACAACACAAGTTGATCTGAAGATTGGTTCCTATTTTTTAAAAAGTCCTCTCCTAGACTTAGAATGGCTCACACGGTTTCTAAAATGCTGTGAAAAAGCACCCATCCTCTATAAGGTATTTGGGGGCATTTGGGAGCAGGTTTTTTTTTAACCGCTAGGTGCTCTGGAAGCCACAAAATAGTCCCTGAGGACCACAGATAATGCATGAATCATACTTTGCTCACTCCTGTTCTAGTTGAACAGGAGCTTTGCTGACATTGGACCTCAGCACCATCATGGTATTGAGGATCTGCACAGATTTTCTGTCCTCTGCCTATATTTAAACAGACACTGAAACTTTCATGGAGTTTCAAACCCATGTTTCATATATCATTATTCCATGGCTGAGATTCTCTGTATATTTTCACAGCCCTCCTGTCCATTATTTTTAAAATTATACTGCAGTCCTCTTCTAAGTGGGACTGGCACTGTTTCTCCTTTTAGCACCATACTTTTACAGCTGGTGATAAACTGATTCCTTAATAGTATAATCAGAAAGTTTTGGGTGGTGTGTGTGTGTGTGTGTGTGTATATGGGTAAGGGAAGCAAATAAATTTGTTATGTGATAAAGGGAGTGATTTTATAACTGATCCCATTACTTAAATGTCTCAACATTATTTTTACTACTCTTTGTCTCCTATAAATTAAGATGAAAGTAGTTGGACAAGGGGAAACTGAAGGGCTGCAGAATGCTTCAGGGATCATGTCTTTAAGGGTTATTAAGCACAATTTGTTTTTGTCAGATTCCAATTTATCTGTATTTTAGCACATCTCAGGAACAAGATGTGACATCTAGTATATCTTTATTAATCATTTATTCTGGAGACTTTGTACTTTTTTTGACCTTAAGGACCATGCAGTGTTTACTTCACAGAATGCAAAAGTAGATGCTTTCCCCAGTGGGTTTTAAGTATATAAGTCAACAACAGTTTGAAATGCTAACTTATAGGAACACAGGGAGAGCAGTACAGCATATTATAACACATGGAATAGTTTACAACAGTTTACAACAGGGGTGGCTACATCCAGTAGGGGTTGGCCCTACACATGATTTAAAGTTCACCTACAATGCCCACAATCTCTTACCACTAGCTCTGTTTTCTGGGCTGATGGGAGTTGTTAGCCAAAAGACTCCTCACTCTGTGTTTATACTGAAATACACTTGTGAATGGATTTAATGAATTTGTAAATATAGGGAAATCTGTACCATTCAGATTCAGGTGCACAGGTTGTGCTCTTTTTTTTCTTAAAACATAATATTAAGTAAGAGCTGTTCAACAGTGGAACACACTCCCTCAGAGAGTGGTGGCATCCCCTTCTTTGGAGGTCTTTAAACAGAGGCTGAATGGCAATCTGTCGAGGATGTTTTGATTGTGAGTTCCTGCATGGCAGCGGGTTGGACTGGATGGCCTTGTGGTCTCTTCCAACTCTATGATTCTATGAGCCATCTACAGTGAATAATAATAATAATAATAATAATAATAATAATTGTACCCCGCCCCTCTGTGCACAATTGGGGCAGATAACAATAATTAAAAATACATACAATATAAATCCAAAAAGACCCAATACCCGCCTCCCCCTTTAAAAAGTATTAAACTAAACACAATTAAAACATCTTAGATTGTATAAAAGCTCCACCCAGCCAGGGTTATATTTACTGGTCTCGCACATACATCAATCTATTGGAAAACTGTGTAAATTTGCACTCAAGTTGTTCAAGGAAATTTCATCCATAGTTCCCAAATAATAGTAATGGTTCAATGTTGAACAGCTCAAGGATTCAGGGAGCATGTATACTTCCTAAACAGAAATGGATATTCTGCTCTGGAATGGTACCATCTACTCCCAGTCTTGTTTCAAGAGCAAATTAGATATACATATTAAAGAAATGTTCCGCCTAAACATCAGAAATAACTTCTTGAGAGTAACACTGTTTAACACTGAATAGACTGCTTTGCAGGATGGCAGACTCTCCTTCTTGGCGACCTTGGGTAAGTCACATTCTCTCAGCCTCAGAGGAAGGCAAAGGCAACCCCCCCCCCTTGAACAAATCTTGCCAAGAAAACCCTGTGACAGAGTCGCCATAGGTGGGAAATGCCTTGAAGCCACCCAAGAACAGCAAAGTTTGGATGGTTGTCTCTCAGGAGTGCTTTATTTTTGTATTGCTGCATGGCAAGGGGTTGGTCTGGGTGACCCTTGTGGTACTTTCCAACTCTATAATTCTATGCTTCTAAGGAGTAGGGATTTGTACACAAGGAAACAACAGCACTGGCTAAAAGCATGCTTTAGCTTTTGCTCTCAATATATTTATTTTAAAACCATTGAATTTAGCAATGTAAATGACTGGAAGAGTGATGTTTAGGAACCCTAAATATTTGCTTAAATCAGCAAATATAGTTTTCCTTTAAAAAAGGAAAAACTTGCATGCTACAGGACTCGGTCTATAGGCACAGGAGGAATATGCACTTTTGATGGCACATCAGGACTCCAGAATTATTGATGCTGTAAAGCTACATTTGAGTAACACTTGTCTTATTGCAAATGACAGAAACTAAAGATTGCTGATCATTACTAGTGACTGTCAATATTCACTAGAAAAAAATATTGAAATTACTTATTTCTGATGTATGCAAGAACCACAGTGAATATACTGGTAGGGTTTATTTTGGCCTATATGGAGTCTTTCCTTGCTGTGAAATCCCTGCAATCTAGTTATGGTAAGGATTGCCAGGCAAGTAATTACCAGAATAGAGTGCTAAGCAAGCAGTCCCTGTGTCAAAGAAACTGACCTTGTAAAGATAATGAGACAAGGAGAACTCAGAACAGATGAAAGCCAAGAGCACCTACTTTATCTAGTGACAGCCAGGGAACACCTTCATGCTCAATCAGTTCCTGCTAATGAGACAAGATGGGGCAAGATGTTAAAACAGCAGTAATGGGCAAACTTTTTTCCCTAGCTTAATGATGTATAGCTCAGTTAGACAAAATTGTCTTTTAAACTAGGCAGGAACATTAGTGTAAATGTAGATGCATAAAAAGAGTACTAAACTGTATTTTGGAAATATCTACAAATTAATAGGAATAACATTACAGAACCCTGTTATAGGCAAACAGTGAGGATGCAAAGTATTTGATAGATGTTGGTATGCATTTTTCTTTAAAAAATGGCTGCACTCTAATACATTTAAGTCCATCAAAGCTCAGATCGTTAAGTGGACTTAAGCATACATAACTTTAAAACAAATTAATGTGTTGGATTGTGTTTGGCAGGTATAGGTTACAATGAAGGAGTGAATTGTGCTTCCTGTGGGATGATGCCAGACATAAATCTTCAGAGAAACATTAATGGGGTAAAGTGTCACTTAAATCTGCCAAACACCTAATTGTCTGAATATGAACAGGCAGGGCTGGCCCTACCATTAGGCAAAGTGAGGCACCCACTTCAAATATCACATCAGTTTAATCTGCTGTTAGTGGATTTTTACTGGCAGAGAGAAGGAGAACTGCTTTTGTGTATGTGTGTGTTTTTTTCCCCACCTGTCTCATGTTCCTAAACAACCTGGCCAGCTTTGGGTACTGTCTACACTTTGACTCAGGCTGAGGCTGATGTCACTTATGCCATCTAGGCACAAAATTGTCAAGGGTTCATCCTGAGAATAAGGCAAAGAAAACTATAAGGAAACATCTTTGCACAGCCCAGATATTGTCTGTTTCAGAGAATCTTGGGAGGACAGTAAATCTTGAAAGGGTTGAAGCCAGATATGGCTTAACAGCATTCATGTGGAAACAAAAAAAATATAAAAAAGCTACAGTGCTAGGTCTTAAGGAAGAGTACCTGGAATTGTATGTCCACTGCTTTCTCCAAGGCAGGGGTGGGAACTGTGCAGCCCGTAGACCACATGTAATCCACCCACAGAGGCCTTTTGTGTTGCCCTTGGAATCACCTCCAGCCTTCTATCACTGATATTTTTCTTACTCTGGAAATAGAGACTGATACATCTAGAGGCCTATATTAAGTGCAATTCTCTTTAAAGCCTTTTCTAAGGACCTTAGTTTGGCCTCAAATGGCATTTGAGGGAAACCAGAAGTGACTTTTTGGCCACTTCTCTAAAAACGGGCATGTGGGTGGCCTGTGGGGGTCCATGGGCTGAGGAATGGGGTGGGTGTTGCCTCTGGTGTGCCCTTTGCAATAGCTCATCCTTGCTCTAGTGCCTAGCCTTAAAAGGGTCTATTGGAAGCTTGT